CCGATTTTCGATTCCGCGGCTCAACATATTTTGGATAGACGCCGACAAATCATTACTCGAAACCGACTTCCGCGATTTACTTGTTAATGTCCGTAAAATTTTTTTGCATATATACCGTTGTGAATAAATAATTTGTTTTAGTTTGTAATTAACCCTGTTATTATTATTTTTCGTATTGCTCGGCTATTGATTCTATAATTACAAACGTTACATTAATAACAGTCAAGTAACAAATTTATTTAAATCAAATAAATATTTTTTTACAGTGTAGTTAAAATATTTACTAATTCAAATTTAGAAAATTAAAATCACTGTTGAAAAATAAAATACTTTTCAAAAAATAAAAATTTCTTCTATATGATTGAAAATAACTATATTGAAAGAGTTTATGACCCGATTTTTTTAAGATCAGAATATATTCTCGAAATCTAGGTAAGTATGCTGAGACTCTCAACAAATGTCTTGACAAAAGACAATAAACCCCCTCCCTCCCCCCCAAAAAAAAATCTCTTCTATTAGAATCAACTTTGAATATATCAACAACAAAGTTCAAGATGAGTGTATATGGAGTTCAGTTTTCTGAAACCAGGCCAAAAGTTCTGCCTTTAGAGAGAGAGTAGAGGAACTACGGGGACGTTCGACTTATATAGAATTCTATCGCCTTTTTATCTTCACCGACAGAAGCATGTCCAATAAAATTCAACAAGTTAAACGTGATCTCAGCGTTCCTTTTCAAAACATACTCAATTACACTGGGAATATTTAATTTTCACTGCAACCACAATTTGAAGGAAAAAAAAATATATATATGTCTCTAATGCAATTTTCAATAAAATATTAATTTTATTAATAATTATTATTATTAAAATATCACAGAAAAAAACCTAAGCTCAAAATGAGTAACCGTACACTACTAATTTTGATGTGCAACAAAAATATGCCTCGTAGATGGCGCTACGTTCGATGTCGCTTAGAATTGGCGCTCATTTTGAATTGCAACAGAAATAAGTTAAGATTTTTTTTTTATAAAAGTTTGGTAAAAAAGAAATTATGTCAAAATAAAAATTCTCCCAATAAAAAATGTTCGGTGTCTAAAAATTTTGTCAAAAAAAAAAAAAAAATTCTTTTAAAAACAAAATTAACTCAAAAGCTAATTTGAAAAATGAAAATACAAAAAAAATAATTATACTATAAAATTTGTTGAATTAAAAATTCATATATTAAAATATTTAAAATATTTAATGATGAAATAATGAAAATTAATGGCATTTGATTTGGTAATTATCGAAAATTGAGAACGTCATCAATCCTCATTTTCAATGAGGCCATATACAATTATCAACAACTGGAAATTGCAATGAAGTTTTGAAAGCTAAGGTATACACACACACACACTCCTCACCCCTCAAAATGATTGTATGTGAAATCTATTTTGAAAATCCACATATTATATATATATATAAAGTAACTAAAGTTAAAATCCTTATCATTAAAACTTTGCAGCTGTGAATTTGAAACTTCCTCGTATATTATACTCTTAACCTTCTAAAAACACTTTAGGAGAATATATATTAAAATTTCAATATTGATGGGAGGTGTCTAATGTAGAATATAAATCATCAAATATTTCAACACGTAAAGAAGATTTCATTAAATTCCTTTAAATTCTCCTTTTGTAACTAACACAGCTTACATACATATATATATATATATGAAAACGTGTTAGTTGAATATAAAAAAGGGGTAAAGAAAAGTTTAAAATATGTGATAAAAATTCTAATCAAAAGAAAAAAAAATATTCATTGTTTTGTTAAAAAAAAAAAATTAGTTTACCTTGCAATTGATATTTTTTTCTTCTCTAATTTTGTAAATAGTTTTTTCTTACAAATTTTTCCAATCCTCTGCTGCATTCGACTGGTTACTTTCTTCATCTATACGCATGATTATTCGATAAAAAATAATTACCTAGAATTTTCAATTTAAAGAAAATTAACACAATTATTTTTTTTAGATGAATTTTCATTTTTCAAATTATGTGTAAAGTAAAAATTTGTTTTCAAATGCAAATTTTATCAAATGAAAATTCGTAAAAAAAAGAATTGAATTCCGTAAGAGGAAAATTGTAACTAATAATTTTTATCGGATAATCATCATCTTATCATCGTCTTCTTGAATTTCCACAGCATCTGAAACAAAAAAAAAACCTATTATATTAGTTTAAGTAAAACAATTGTTAAATTGATGGGTTTTTTTTGTCATTTCATGTTTTTGTTAAATTACAAGGATGCAACGATTAATTCTGAAAGTCCTTGGCTAAACTTAGGATGCAATATATATATATATTGCTGGTGGCTTATCGGTAACTCCGATTTCCATAGATACAAGCGATTTCATGTAAATCTGTCAAGAACGGTCGGAAAACCACACAGCATCAGCATTTATAATGCACGACGTCGTTCACACTAATGTATCTTCAGTTCTCTCCCTTTAATCCCCCCCCTCTCTCTCTATCTCACACACATACACTCATACGATACATTGCAAAATTGGGTAACATACGTCGACGATCGATTCAATACTAAAATATTAAGCATCCTTCAATTTCACGATGACGACCAATTCCTCAGGGAAACAGTCTCTATATATCATCTTTTCTGTTGGGATTCACCGGGGGGACAATATTAGTTCAGTGGTAAGTTAAATATGTCTAGTTGATAATTTACATCAAGGATTGCAAGTTGCCATGTGAATTTCAATATTTACTTATATATATTCTCTAAATTTGAATCAGTGAAATAGTTGGAATTTAGCAAATGAATCAAAATTTCCACTGGAATTCAGTGATATTTCACTGAAAATTAGTAGAATTCTACTTTATTGATTAAAACAGTAAAATCTGTTTTACCGATTATTGATAATAAAGACTTGACTGTTTTACCGATTAACAATAATAGATTTGACTGTTTTTACCGATTAACGATAATGCAGATTTGACTGTTTTACCTATTAATAATAATGCAGATTTAACTATTTTAGAAAGAGGAATTTTTTTTTTATCTAAAATGTGTCTTTTTAAATTAAAGATATACAATGATATTAAAAATGCTCACTGCATTATTTTCTTTTTTTTAAATTTTACTGTTATAAACAACTCTTGATGACATATAGAGATTTATATTGTAAGCGAAAGAGTCTTTTTATGATACAAAAATTATATATATATATATATATATATACATTTTTAGTACAAAGTTGTAAAACAAAAAAATGTACTATTATCATAATGTATAACCAGGTTTTTTTTTAATTTTCTTTTTTCCAAAACCAATTTCATTTAATGTTTATAATAATTCTGCAAAAATAGTCATTCAGTTTAAAATTTATTACAATTTTTTCTGCGGAAAGGAAAAATTCTCTTTTATTTTCAGGTACAAAAATAAAATATACTTTCATAAAAGAAAACATTCAGAAAATCCTGCAGAGTTTTCTGCGGATCGTTATTAAAAAAAAACAAAAAACAAAAAATTCCCAACAAAATTTGTTTGCGACAACAAAATTCCAATCAAAATTTTGGTTACAACAAAATAGTTTCGTCTGACAAATCAAAAATTATTGTTTCTTATCGTAACAAAATAATTTGCAACAAAATAATTTGTTTAACACAAAATTCCAATCAAAATTTAGTTACAACAAAAAATAATTTGTTTGACACAAAAAAGTCCCAACTATTTGGTTACAACAACAAAGTATATAGTTTCGTCTGAAAAATTAAATGTTCGTTTCTTAGTTTACCCACTTGGAAAGATTCCCCGGAAAGTGACCCCTATGGAGGTTCTATCAGAATTCCGCCGGAACTTCCAACGTAATTCCATCGGAATTCCATCGGAGTTCCAAAGAATTTTTCAATGGGATTCCGACGGAACTTCCAACGTAATTCCGTCGGAATTCCAAAGAATTTCCGATGGGATTCCGCCGGAACTTCCAACGTAATTCCGTCGTAATTCCATCGGAGTTCCAAAGAATTTTTCGATGGGATTCTGACGGAATTGGGACTCTAAAAATTTTGAAAAAAATTAATCGAAATTCCGTCAGAATTCCGTCGGAATCCCATCGAAAAATTCTTTGGAACTCCGATGGAATTACGTTGGAAGTTCAGTCGGAATTCTGATAGAACCTCCAGGGGGCACTTTCTGGGGAATCTTTCCAAGTGGGTAAAACAAAATTTTTGTTTGTTAGCCCAAACCAAATTCGTTAATATTTTTCAATTATAAAATTGTTGATCGCACAAAGTGCCATTTACAAACTACTTGTAAGAAATTACTAATTTTTTTTTTTTTTTTTTTTTCTTTCTGTGTGTCGCTTCTCTCATTTCACCTCTCAACTTAATGACAAATACTTGAAGATAATAAACTCTTCTGCAGTAGCCGATAATGACTTCTAATCCACGGAGCAAACTCGTCAAAGTACATTTAGCATTGCAGAGAGCAAACTCTCTCTCTCTCTCTCTCTCTCTCTCTGTTTCTCTCTCAGCTCATCCAATATTCGACGGTCGATCTCGACCTGAAAACTCTATCCATCACCTTCCGCCTTCTGAACTACTGCTATATAAGCCGCGCTCTTACTCACAAGCCTCTCGCGCGAGAACCTCGTAAACGCTTCGCATGTCAGCCATAAAATATGTCATCTATGACTGACGACACAAAATCCCATAAGGTTTCTCTATATATGCTAAAAGGGGTTCACAAATGTCACATTCAGAGTCCCCTCTCTCTAAATATATATATATATGTATAAAGAAAAGAATAGCCAAATCGTGTATATATAAAGGGATCCTTTCTTCAAAAGAAGCGAACCTACAGTGAGAGAGCGAGAAAGAGAGAGAGAGAGAACGACTTTTCTATTGACGCTTGCGCCTCAACTTTCTCGCCCTCTTTTCCTCCTTTCTTCACCACCCACTGATCCAAACCGCCACTTCCAGTTTGTGGGGTCAGTTCAGTTTGCGCTCGACCGAGGTCCTTAATGTTTCTCTCTTTCGTTCATCACCGTTTTAATTCGAAATTTCGATCTCCTTTTGTGCCGGCTATATGAAAACCACCTTCGCGACAAAAAAAAAATTAATAAATAAATAATATATCTTCCCAGTGTTAAAAGTGACTTGTGTGGAGCAAATAAATTGGGAACTTTATTTTTTTTTTCCCATAAAAAAAAAAAGTGTGTCACTAGTGTTTTTACAAAAAGAAGAAAAGAAAACGGGGCTATACAAAAAAAATTTCACACGGGAAGAAAAAAGAAATGGGAGAACAACTTGGCCATCATTGAGAGATGTGAAAACAAAAAGAAATTATTCCTGAGAGATGAGAGAAGAACCAAGGGTGGGTGTGTTTTTTTGTGATGTGACAAAAAAAAAGGAGAAATTTCTTTTTATCTCCAAAAAAATTCTTCTCATTTTCAGTAATTTATAAAAATTTGGACCCTATAATTTTGAATTTGAAATATTATAATTTTTTTTTTTATAATTGACAATAAATTCCTTAGGTTTTTGTATTTTTTGTTAAATTTTAACAAAATTTATTATATAAAATCATGATGAGGGTAGGAGAAAAATTAGAAAAAAATCCCTTTTTGTAAAAAACTCTTCAAATTTGAATTAGTAAAAATTTTAACTAATTTAAATTAGTGACTCACTTTTTACTTCTCAATTAGTTTAAAATTTTTGAAATTCCAAAGAATATTTAATTACGACAACAAAATAATTTAGTTAACACAAAAAAAAAAAAATTCCAACCAAAATTTTTGTTACGGCAGCAAAATTAACAATAACAAAAAATTCATTAATCTAACCAAACATTTCTGTTATGCCAAGAAAAAAACACTCAACCAAATATTTTCTCTCTAAATCTGAATTAGTAAAAATGTTTACTAATTTGAATTAGTGACTTTTTGCTTCTCAATTAGTAAAATTTTACTAATTATTAGTAACTTTTACTAACAATTAGTAAAATTTAACTAATATTGCAAATTATCTTTAATAATTACCTCAGTTTAGAGGTATTCTTCTGAATTAGTAAAATTTTACTAATTATTAGTAACTTTTACTAACAATTAGTAAAATTTAACTAATTCTAAAGCAAAAAGTGAGTCACTAATTTAAATTAGTAAACATTTTTACTAATTCAGATTTAGAGAGTTGATTGATACAATAACAATAAAATTTTAATTGTATCACAACCAAATTTTGGTTACTGAGACATAAATTTTTTTTTACAATTAATTATAGATAAATACTAATTCAAAAGCAAAAAGTGAGTCACTAATTCAAATTAGTTAAAAAATTTTACTAATTCAATTTTAGAGTGTAAAATACAGTAAGGGAAAAAATATGTAATTTTTTTTTCATTCACTCATTTTTCCCTGAGATGAAAAAATTAAACAGTGAAAAATTCCATGGAAATGATATAAAAATACGAAAATTAAAAGAGAAAAAAATTTCATTTACACAAAGAAAAATAGTTTTTTTTCAAAGAAAACTGAAATTATTCTTAAAAACATTTGACAATATATAATTAGAGAGTGAAATATTTTGTGAAAAACATCTGTCAAAGGATGAAAAAAAAAACAGATCTCTGAAGAGTTAAAAAAAATACATGATAAAAAAAATACAGGATAAGAATATTTATTTAAAGAAAAAGAACATTTCAAAGGCTCTGAAAACTTGGATGCAAAAAAAAAAAAATTTTAAGAGACAAATGAAATAAAAGTGAAAACCTGAAAAGAAAAAATTGCAATTATAGTGCAAATGATAGAAAAATGAGATTTAAAACCAAACTTGGTTTTAAGAAAACTAAAATTATGAGAAATTATTCAAAAAAAAAAAATACCAAAATATAAACCTCAAGATGATAAAAAAAAAATTGAAAATTAATATTCATACGTTTTTCATGCTAAATTATACGAAAAAAAAAACAAACTTTTCTCTAGTAGTGAATTTCAATTTATTTTAAATTGTGTGTAAATATTTTCTCGTGTGTGTCCTACTAAAATACTTTCGAAATGGATTTATAATTCACAATAATCTAGAAATACGCTTTAACCTAGGTGTTAATTTTGGTTCTGCTCTATTCATAAATAATGGAATTCATCATTTATTTCTCAACATATATGTGTGAAATTATTTCACTACTATATTCGAGTTTATATTTTTTTTACCAAAAACAAAAAGAAAAAATTCTTTTTAAAAAATTTGTTTAAAATTAATTTGCATTTACTAAAAATAGATTTGAATTTATTAACATTTAAAAATTAATTTTGATATAGAATTTCCTTCTTTCTTTTTTTAGTTAAATTACTTGTAAATTTATTGAGAGACAGTACACCTATAAAGTTTAATAGCATGTAATAATGTTTTTGTTCAATCAAGTGTATTTACAACTAAAACGCTTTTATGTTAACTTTGTTAGTAGGTTGATTAAATATTTTCTTGTTTCATTCAATAATAAATTGGCTATTTTTGAAAATTTCAATTGTTCAAAAAGAAAAAAATTATATTAGTTTCTATAATTGAAAAATGTTTATGAAAATTGTTCAAAAAAAAAAAATAATTTTAATTTTCTATTTAACTGTATATTACAGATATTTTTCAAAATTAACTATTATTTTTTTTCAACTTTGAATTTTGTAACAAACAGATTGTAATACAAATGAAGGACTTCCTTTTAAAAGCACTTTTAAATTACCATTTCCACCATTACCAGTTTTTCATTCGAGAATCTGGGTTCATTTCAAGTTGGTTGACCTAACTGCTCAAGATAATTTATCTTCCGACATGCAGCTTTATTATTCGCGTGAACTTTTTTTTTTTTTTAATGTCCTCCATACATTTTATTAGTTTGGAATTTTAATTCTCGCTTTTTTCTATATAAAATATGTGCGTTGAGATTACCGTTTAATGTGAAAAGATGTTATTTGATAAAAAGATATTTTTATATTTTTTTTTTTTGTATTTTTTAATTTTCTTTTGAGATTTTTTCTTATAAATTATTTTTTTGGTAGAGACATTACTGTATAAAGATATAGTTTTATATGTAAAAATATTTTATCAATTTGACTGCAAAATTTCTTTTAACTTTTATACTTGGATCTTAAATTTTTAAATCACATTCCTTCTTGTGAAAATCTAGTTTCACATTTCAAATTTTAAACTCTCTAGCCCATAATTTAAGCTGTGCTTCAATGTAAGCCAAGTATCCCGTAATTTACAAACCGCATTTTGTAATTCAATTTTACAATTCGTTTTTCAAATTTTTTAAATTCACTTTCACTTATAATTTATTTATCAATTATTTATTTATTTTTAATTATTTATTTTCTTATTTATTTATTTTTATTTATTTATTTTTATTTATTTCTTTTTATTTATTTAATTATTTATTTCTATCAATTATTACTGTTTTTATACTTTGTTTCCTATTTACTTTATTTAATATTCTTTCATTGTAAAACAATGTATAAATAAAAAAAAATTTCTTATCAAATTATTGTAATATTAATATCTTTTTTTTTAATAAAAATTTTTTTTTAATATTTTAATATTATAAATATTATTATTTAATATATTTATCGAATTGGTTTTAAATTGACAAAATTATATGGCATTTGGTTATAATAGTATTGATTATAATCCGAAAGGAACAATAACAATTTGTCAATTCGAATCTCGTTTCTCTAAATCGCCACTTTCACACCTAATAATAATACCTACATTTTGACAAATAGAGCAATTTGCTTATCGGTAATTACAATAATAGCCCTAATATATATATAAATATGCCTAATTTGATTGCAGTTAAAAAAAAGTTTAAAAATAGATTCAAAAAATAATTCAATTTTTATTATTTGTTTTAAAAAACTTTGATTATATTGAATATACGAAAAAAAACATTTACCTGAAACAGCGATAAGTTTCACTAGAATAGCGAAAGATTTAACTGAAACAAGTAAAACTTTTGCTAATATAGTGAAACCATTCGCTGTTTCAGGTAAATTTTTTTTTAATTGTATGTGGCGTTACTTGCCTCAATCAATGTTAACGTTTAATTAAAAAGTAACGGTAACGCAATTTTGAAATATAACGGTTATATTATATTATATTATATTATATTATATTATATTATATTATATTATATTATATTATATTATATTATATTATATTATATTATATTATATTATATTATATTATATTATATTATATTATATTATATTATATTATATTATATTATATTATATTATATTATATTATATTATATTATATTATATTATATTATATTATATTATATTATATTACATCAAATTAAATTATATCAAATAATAATCTTGATGAAAATTATTTTTCCTCCTTATAATTGGTATTTCGATTATCTTTATTGCACATATGGGGCTTCCGTGAATCAATTCGAAGTGATGCTGTTGTCTGGACAAAAATCACGATAGCATATGGTTTATTGGTAGACCTTGCGTGCGTGCACACGCAGCCTATCGATTCTTGTGGCTTAGCCGCCTGCACGACGTGTGACGTCACATGGGTCGAGTAGACAGGGTTTCGATCGTTCTGACGAGGTTAAAACGAGGTGAAAGCTTTTTTTTCTACTTTCTTCCTCCCTCGAGTCATTATAATTTATTTTTAACAAATCGTAAAAATAGTTTTTCTTTTTTTTTTCAAATTGCAAAATTTCACGTATATATAAATTAATCATATAAATTTCAAAGTAAAAAAAAAAAAAAAAATTTATTAATATTACAAGTGTCAAATGACAAAATAAAATTGATTTTCATTATGATGAAAGAAAAATTAAAATTTATTTTTATTAATTCAAATAAAAAGTTGTTTGAAGCAGGTGATGTTTTTTTTTTTACAAAAGCAGCCGAATTTCGATTCCTCTCTCTCTATATATGCGTATAAATTCGATATTCAAGGAACGTGCGAATGAGAGATGCAAATATTACATCATTAATTATTCATGGGAATGATTCCCCTTCTGGTTTTCTCTACTTTCTATCGTCGTCGTAGAAAAAAAAATCTCCCTAAGAAAAATATCAGATCTTCTTTTTTTATTTGTCGAATCAGTTGACTCGACAAATGTATTTTAAAGAAAAAATCCAAAAAGAAGACGCTATATTTAAAGTGATGTAAATTTTTTTATTGAAATTAAAATTAACACAAAGTTCAAATTTGTCGAGAACAAAATTCACTTTGGCTAATGACAAAAAAAATACGGCTATGTCTGACGTAAAAATTCTTTTACTACTTATTGCGAATGTTACAACGGTTCTGTCTGACCATAACGTGTTTGTACTACTGACTGTCCAGTAAAATTAAATTTTTTATATAGAGAAATATTAACTAAAAATAACTTTCACTACTTGAATTCGAATCTTTTTTGTCTGACTATAACTCACTTTTACTACTTATTTTACAATTAACTGCATTTAAATAGTTAAATAGTGTCTGACATAAAACTTACCCTTACTACTTGAAATTGAAATTCAAAAATTTATTTACTCCTGTCTGACTAAAACTTACTTTTACTACTGCTGCTGAATTCAAAGTAAAAAATAGTTATATGTCTGACTAAAATTTACTTTTACTACTTATTCTATAGTAACAGAAAATTTAAAATAATTGTTTTTTTTCTAACGACAATACAATAGCAGATGTGTCTGACTAAAACTTTCTTTCACCACTGACAATTTTACAACAACAAAAATGTTAACTGTCTGACTAAAAATAACTTTTACTACTTGGTATTTTTTTTCATCCTATTACTAATTTTCTTATTCGAAATAAAGACCAGTTTTTTTACGACTAATTTTCCAAAAAAAAAACCCTAAAAATTGTAGCATATTTTAAAAATTACATTTTACGAATAATGCCAGATATTGGAAATTTTTTCCCACCCCCACCACCCTTTACACATATACATGTATATGTACATTTATTCAGTGACCTAGATTATTGTGAAAATTTAAATGACCGCACCCCTTAAATATAGGAAAACTAATTTATTTGCTAAACATTCACGCAATAAGGCTCTAAATCCTATTAAACCAAAATGAATCCATTTTCACAAGAGGAATGAAACACAGATATATATATATATATATGTATATATATATATATATATATATATATATATATATATGTATATATATATATATATATGTGTAATATGTATGTGTATGTTATTAAATGAAACTTGGGTCAAGCTACTTTCATTGTTTACATTTTACTATTGGTTAAACTCATTGTTGACATTTTTATTATGTTGAGTTAAAATGAGAAAGAGAGAAGTTTATTGTTTACAGTTACAGTCGCACGCGGTATTTAAAATTTTATTATATATATGTTAGTAAAAGGACATGTATCGTAAAAGTAGATAATAGAATTACTGTGGCTAACTAACTGTATCGCAAAGATTTTCTATTTGCAAAGAAAATCCTTTGGTTATAGACAATTTTGTTTGTCGTAACAAAATTTTGGTTGTCGTAACCAAATTTTGGTTCTTGTAACTAAATTTTACTTGGCTGAAACAAAGTTCAAGTGTTAGGTGAACAAAAAATTTAATTGGTCCAACAAAATTAATTGATTTGACCATTTTTTTTAAATTACAACTAAAATTTGGTTAAGACAATAATTTGGTGATTTCTAACTGAAATCACAATTCCTTATTAACAATTTTGTCACTATTTGGGGAAATAGATCTCGTATAAATTTTCCAAGAATGAAGTGGTCTATTGCCATTATATCAATAAAGATGAACTATTAACAAGATGAGATTAGTGTGGTGTGAGTAAACACGATAATTTCAAGTAGTTTACGTATCAGAGTTTCAGCCAACGTTTCAGAAATGCCAATTGATTCTCCTAACTGATGACGGAGTTCAAGTACATACGATATAGATATATATATATATACACTACTAATTTAGATAACTTTTCACCTACTCTTTGTATTAAAGGTGAAAATGTCGAAAATAATTATTAAAAATGATGATTTAAAAAAAAAATCATTGAAACTTCTGACTAAAATGGAATTTTACTATTTATAGTAAATTTCGGTCTGACTAAAATATACATACTTTCACTACTGATGCGAAAAATCACAAGTTATATGGAAAAATCATTCGTCTGTGACTGTTTTTTTTCTACTGAAATCAAAATTCAACGTGAAAAATGTCTTTGAAAGCTAAAATTTTAAAAATCCTTCAGCCTGACTATAAATTTACCATAACTACTTAAATAGTGAAAAAAAAATTTTAATTCAAATTGTTTGCTTCAGAAAAAAAAAGAAATGAAATTTTTACAAATATACAAGCGAGAGTGTATTGAATTTTGTAAATAGAGAGATATACTCTATTTTGCCAGAGATCAAAGAGATATGTGAAATATTCATTTTACACGACTTTCATTCTATTTGCATCAGTTGGTCAAGACATGTAATGAAAATTTTACAAAATACAAAAGCAAATTTTTGAAAAAGAACCGCAAATTCAGGAAAAAAATAAAAAAAAATACCAATCACAATAATTTAATTTTATTTGCAAACTGATTTCTTTTATAAAAAATACTAACCTGTCTGACTGAAAATAACTTTTATCACTTAGTAAAACCTTTGGTTTCGAATATTCCCGTCTTACTATAAGTTACTTTTACTACTAGTACTGAAATAAAAATAAAAAATAGTTGTCTGACTAGAATGTACTTACTACTTGAAATTAAAATTCAATATTTTCTTTAAAAATACTATTTTTTTATTTATTAAATTTATAGAAAAAATTTCTTTAAAGTTTGTTAAAATTTTCTTCTTCTTTTTTTTTTTGCCCACCCAATTTTGATCATAGGTCAAGTGGCTGTCTTCGATTTGGGACCAACGGTAGCAGAGCCTAGATCAAGATGAACCTGATCAACATGGACGCGGAGAACCGCGTGGTTCTAAACGTGGGTGGAATAAGGCACGAGACATACAAAGCCACGTTAAAAAAAATTCCAGCAACGAGGCTATCGAGATTAACCGAAGCCTTAGCCAATTATGACCCAATTCTCAACGAATATTTTTTCGATCGACATCCGGGTGTATTCGCACAAGTTCTCAATTATTATAGAACGGGCAAATTACATTATCCAACCGATGTATGCGGTCCATTATTTGAAGAGGAACTTGATTTTTGGGGCCTTGATTCCAACCAAGTTGAGCCATGCTGTTGGATGACGTATACACAGGTAATTTTATAAAACAATTTTTTTACACAAAAAAAATTATTATAAATTAATTTTTTTTTAAATTGAAACGAAAATTGAATTATTATGTCTCAGCAAAATTCATTTTAATTGGTAATTTTAATTTTAATTTCACTTCCACTATCACTTTCACTTTCACTTTCACTTTCACTTTCACTTTGCTTTTCTTTCAAGTCACATTCACTTTCATTTCGCATTCGTTTCCCTTTCACGTCAGTTTTACTTTACTTTCACTTTCATTTTTATTTCGCTTTTATTTCCCTTACACTTTCCTTTCACTTTGCTAACAGTGAAAGTGAAGTGAAAGTGAAAGGAGAATAAAAGAGAAATGAAAGTGAAAGTGAAGTGAAAGTAAAGTAAAAGTGACGTGAAAGGGAAAAACGAAAGCGAAATGAAAGTGAATGTGACGTGGAAGGAAAACAAAAGCAAAACAAAAGTGCAAGTGAAAGTGAAAGTGAAAGTGAAAGTGAAAGTGAAATTACAAAATAGCACCCCAGTTGTTTAACTACAAAAAATAAAATTATTATTACCCTTCACAATTTTCAAAAAAAAAATATATTGCATCCTGCAAACATTATCAATATTATAAAAATATTTATATAAAAAAAATAAATTTCCAATTTTCCCCCTATCAATATATATATTCCCCCTAAAAATAGGTATTTTACACTCTCACATCACGTGACAAGGTATGATTCGTGCCGAAAATCAATTTCCAATTTTCATAAGATTCTGATTTTATATTCCATATAAAATTGTTTTTTCTCGAAATAGAAAATTTAGTATAAGACAAAAATTACACTCAATTGCAAAAAAATTTTGAAAAAATTTAAATATTAAATAATGTTATTGTTTTTTTTAAAGCAAAAGAAAAAAAAACCTCTTGAATCTATTTATTAGTTTAATGAAATATTCATAAAAATTATTTTATTTAAATAAACGAATAAAAAAAAAATGCATCAAAAGAAAAATTGTACGATGAAATTGAATTTTTATTCTCTGAGAAGCTGATTAAAATCTGACGTTGATCCAACCCTCGATTATGAAAGATCCTTCTACCTAGCATTTAGGGAGGAAAATCCACTTTTTAACTTAAGATCAATATCGAGACGATGAGAAAATATCTCAAAAGTTCCGTAAATTCTATTTAAACCTATTCAATCACAATGTAGAAAAATAATTTTAATTTAATGCACTTTTTTTTGGTAACGAAAAAAAATTTTTTCAATAATTAAAAATATGTTTTCTTTTAATTATATAAAATAAAAATTTAAATAACTATATAAATATATATTAGTTAGAAAAAAAATTGTTCCTTTAGAAATTTTTAAATGAAAACAATAGTTTATCCTTTCAAAAATGTGTCAAACATGGTTAGGATTTTGAATATTTCATTCTTTACATAGAATCAAACATTTATAGGCTTTTGAAAGCGAACATTGTCGATTCTCTCTGAATTTTATTCTTTTTATTTTATAAACTGTTTTTTTTTTTGTCAAAGAGAAGTAAACTCTACTAGCGAATATGTAATATTCTCACGGAATGGAATATAAAATTTTTCGTTGGAAAAATATTTAAAAAAAAGCAAAAAAAATTTTTTTTAAATTAAATTATTTTTTTAAAAATACTTTTCAAGCTTTTCTATGGTATTCCCGAGAGTTTATCTCGGAAATTTTCAAATTTTTTGTCTACTTTGGTCCATTGTAGGTCGGATGCTGTGGATTCTATCAAAAACTACATTTTACATTTTTTGTAGAGCACTATCTGGGATAACTCTCCTGCATTTTCGGAGAATTTATCTCGATAATTTGAAATTTCGAAATTTCTACTCAACTTTGGTCCATTGTAGCTCGGATGCTGTGAATCCTATCAAAAAGTCCCTTATACAGTTTTTGTAGAGCACTATTTGGGATAACTCTCCTGCATTTTCGGAGAATTTATCTCGATAATTTGAAATTTCGAAATTTCTACTCAACTTTGGTCCATTGTAGCTCGGATGCTGTGAATCCTATCAAAAAGTCCCTTATATATTTTTTGTAGAGCACTATCGACGGATAACTCTTCTGCATGGCCCGAGAATTTATCTTAAAAATTTGAAATTTCGAGATTTTTTCTCATCTTTGGTCCATTCTAGGTCGGATGCTGTTGATTTTATCAAAAAGTATCTCTTAACATTTTTTTTAGAGCACTATCTGAAGATAACTTATCTATCTGTTTTGGAGAAATTATCTCGAATTTTTGAAATTTCGAGATTTTTTCTCAACTTTGGTCCATTGTAGCTCGGATGCTGTAGATTCTATAAAGAATTTCCCCATTATATTTTATGTAGAGCGCTATTTGGGTATAACTCTTCTGCTATTTCGGAGAATTTATTTCAAAAATTTTGAAATTTCGAGACTTTTTCTCAACTTTGGTCCATTATAGGTCGGATGCTGTGGTTCCTACAAAAAGTGACCTCTACATTTTTTATAGAGCACTATATGTGAAAAAATCTTAGTCTATGCTCGAGAATTTATCTCAAAAATTATAAATTTCGAAATTTTGTTTCGACTTTGGTCCATTGTAGGTCGGATGCTGTGGATCCTATTGAAAAGTGACTTGTATAGTTTTTGTAATGCACTATATTTGTTGATAAATCTTATTCTATGCTTGAGAGTATATCTCGAAAATTTAAGTTTTTAAAATATTTTGTTTGGTCCATTGTAACTGGGATGCTGTTGATGTTCTATCAATTGAAATTATTTACAAAATTTTTTTTTTTTTTGTTCTAAATGATAAAAAAAAAAAGCAAACACTTGCTCTCTAGCGCGCGATCGGTTTGTCTTTTAAAACCGCAGCTCTGACGTCAACTTAATCAATACTATTCTTTTATTTTTTATTCTCTACCGTGGAATTCAAGATGCTGAATATATTTTTCTACTTTTTTTTTCATTTGACGTTTAGGAAATATGAATTTTTTACTACATCCAGAGGAAAAGATATATTTTTCTCAGAGCCAAATAAATGTTTATTTGTTGCAAATAAATATATTTATTTGTTGGAAATAAATTTTATTTTTTCCAAATATAAATATTTATTTGTTGGAAATAAATTTTATTTTTTCCAAATATAAATATTTATTTGTTGGAAATAAATATTTATTTGTTGCAAATAAATATTTATTTGCTGCTACAGAATTTTATTTGATTCAAATAAAATTTTTTATTCAAACCAAATAAATTAATTTAGACACTATTGTTTTATATTGCCGAAATTTTTAATTATCCATTAATTACAATATTCCAATATAATTTCTGCTTTAAACATAATAATATTTGTTTTAAAATTATAGATCAGGGAAACTGTATATCAAGAATTATAGAATTAACTCTCTTGAATAGTGTTTGTTACTTGAACTGAATGTAACTGAATTTAATTCAATTTATACTCATATTACATTGATTTGTATTAAGTTATAGTTTATAATCTCAATATATCTTCAGTAAATGGAAAATATTTCCAAAAAAATTATATTTTTAAATATAATTTTTTTTTTGGGAACAAAAATTTCGATTTCTAATGTACAATATTACAAAACAAGATGAAAGAAGGGAAAAGAGAAATTCTTTTTTTCATGCAGATTTTCCACTTTCTCTGAAGTTGTATATGTGTGTGTTAAAATGGTCCGTGAGGGATCGTTCATAGCCGCAAGGATTCAAATATTGGAAAAAAAATACGCAATCCGTTTCCGTTGAGACTTCATTGTGATTCTACATACATACGGACGTGAAATGTGTATAGGGATGAGTGTCATTCTTCAAAATCATCTCACATATTCTATATAAACGTCTCTATATATAGGTATACCGGAGATAAATGGAACAACATCTGCAACTTGTCAGATGTTATAATAATGCTCTATGCATAATATAAATAAATCGAGAAGAAAATATTTTTCTATTAAGCTCATATTCTACAATGTAAAAAAAAAACATATTTGCACATTTATTTTTTATTATTTGGAAAAAATTTATTTTTTTTGCAATTTTTTTTTTCTTTAAAATTAAATAATTTAAATAATATGGTGTCTGACTTTAATTTATAATTACTACTGATTTGTCTGACTAAAACTGTCTTTCACTACTTTATCTAAAAATTTATATCAATTATCCTACAATGAAATGTTTTATTTGAACCAAATATAAGTCTGCCGATTTTTTGCGGGAAGCGCAGCTTATATAGGCGATCGGTAGCCAGGACGCTTGCGAGAGAACTCGACGATATAGCTCGCGCGGCGCGATCAGGTACTACGATGCACATTACGATCGGTAACTTTTTTATCGACATGTGGTAACTATTTTTATCGACGTAGGGTAAATATTTATATAAAATATTTACCCGCGAATTTTCAAACATTCTTTACAAGTTAAATAAACATATAATTTTTCTCACAGCCTACTAGCCTATTTATTTGTCGTAAATAAAATTTTTTTTTATTTAAATCAAATAAATATTTATTTGAACCAAATAAATATGTATTTGAATCAAATAAATATTTTTCCCAATGTAGTAAAAATAAATTTTAATCTAACGTTTCTTTTTTTTTTTATTGAATAATTAAAATAAATATTAATTGAAAATTAATTAAATTTCAAAATAATTACATCAAAATTAATCTTTATAAAAAAATTGGTATTATTAATAATTAGAAAAATAATAAATTTTATATATTTATAGAGAAAATAAGTCAAACGCAACTGACAATTGATATTGACGCGTCTATAGTGGGCCAATATTGTGGTCCCAGTGCACGGTAAATGACATGCATAAATTGTACGGTAAACAGAAACAGTCATGTATTTGGTAACAAGATATTCAATAGACAACATGATTATACTCTGGAGGGATTATTACATCGTTTATACACACAAAATTGATCAATTTATTTTTTCTCCTAATTGAAAAATACACATTTTTTTTTTTTTATTATTATTAACAATTTA